GGGCCGGGCAGCTGGTTATCCAGGAATCCCCGCCCAGCGCTGAGATGCGCCCACCTCTGGGGCGGAGCGGCCGGTTACCCAGGGATCCCCTGCCTCCGGCTGCCCTCCAGACACCAGTGACCCTGCTCTCCACTCCACAGACCCCGTAGCAAGTCTGCCTGGCACATCCGCATGCACAGCCGGCTGGAGAGGGTGCTGCCCGCGGCCCCCCCTCCCCAGCCGCCCAGGCGGGGGCAGCGCCGGGCCCCGGCCCCCATGCCAAGCACCAGTAGGTAATGGAGCGTGGCCGGCGGTGGTGGCTCTGCTTGGGACAAGGTGCTGCTGCTCTGGTGACGGGCTGGGATGCGGGGGGGGCGCGGGCGCGGGCACCGCCTGACGCGCTCTGCTCTGCTATCCCATCATGCCGTGCAGCAACCCGGACCTGCGGCGCAGCGACCCCGGCTGGGAGCGAGCCGACAGCCTGCTGCAGGCGGGCAGTGCCAACCTGCCCCAAGCCGGCTCCCTGGAGCGCAACCGCATAGGGGGTAGGAACCGGCTGGGGGGCAGGGCCTGGGGGCTGGAGCAGAACCAGGCAGGAGAGGGGGTACCGGGGGTGCGGGGCTGGGCACGGGGGGGCACCAGAGGGTGTGGGACCAGACATGGGCACACAGGGGACAGGGCAGGGCTTTGGGGGCACCATGGGGTGGGGGCAGGGCACGGGGGTGTGGGGCAGGGCATGGGGGGCACTGGGGGCTCCCTGGAACAGACCCAGATAGGGGGAGGGGGCAGGGGTGGGGGGGTCTATCCTCAAATGCCAAGGGCCCCCCCCCAATCCTAGCCCCACAGAGCCCCTCTCCCCAGGCCCCCCGCCGCAGCACTGACCCGCTCTCCCCCCACCCCCGCAGCCACGTCCAAGCGAGAGAGCTCCCCCATCCTGCCCCCGGTCAGCAAGCCCAAGGCGGAGGATCACCGCTCGCGCCCTGGCCGGCCCGCGGTGAGTGTCGTGGGGGGCAGGGCCTGGCGTGGGGAGCGGACGTGGGGTGCCCTGTGGGAGAGTGTTTGTGGGGGGCTGTCCGTGGGCAGGCGACTGTCCTGGGGGACCCTGGGTGATGGAATCGAGGTGGCCAGGCCATCCAGGAGGAGGCTTTCAGCCCTGTGCCCTGGGGCGTGGACCCAGGAGTCCGAGCCCCCAGCCCCTGACTGAGAGGTGGGGGAGTCCAGGGGGCACTGGCAGGGCGGGGGGGGTCTCGCTGGCACCGCGTTAACGTCTGCGCCCTTCTTCCCTCTGCTCCCCGCGCGCCACCAGAGCTATAAACGCGCCATCGGCGAGGTTAGTGCCCGTGTATGTGTGCCAGCGCCCGGCACGTTCTGTCTGCTCCCTGCTTCCCGTCGGCAGGGGCTGGGAGAGAACCCAGGAATCCGGGCTCCCAGCCCCCACCCCCCTCCCAGAGCCGGGGAGAGAACCCAGCAGTCCGGGCTCCCA